CAGTGCGCACGTGCTCCCTTTCCTCCACATCCTCGCCAACACTTGTTTTCTTTTGTCTTCTTGATGACAGTCATTCTAACTGGAGTGAGGTGGCATCTCATTGCTGTTTTGATTTGTATTTCCCTGATGATTAGTGATGTTGAGCATTTTTCATATACCTATTGGCACCTGTATGTTTTCTTCTGAGAGACATCTATTAAGATCCTTTGCCCATTTCTCAATTGGGTTGTTTGTTTTTTTGCTGTTGAGTTATTTAAGTTTCTTATATATTCTTGATATTAACCCCTTGCCAGATGTAAAGTTGGAAAATATTTTCTCCTATTCTGTAGGTTGTCTCTTCACTCTGTTAACGGTTTCCTTTTGATGTGATTAAAAAGCAAAAGCTTTTTAATTGGATGTAATCCCACTTGAAGTCTTATTTAAAAATTCCTTGCCCAGCCCCATGTCGTGGATTGTTTCCCCTATGTTTTCTTCTAGTATTTTCATAGTTTGGGGTTTTACATTTAAGTCTTTAATCCATTTTGAGTTGATTTTTGTATAGGGTGAGAATCTAGTCTCTTTCTTCGCATGTGGATACTCAGTTTTCCCAGCACCATTTACTGAAGAGACTGTCTTCTCCCCAATACGTATTCTTGGCCCCTTTGTCAAAGATCGACTAACAGGTAACTATTATTTTTGAACTCCCCCCTCACTTAGCCTCCAGAATCTCCTTCCCCTCATATGGCAGCCCCACCAGGGTGTCCCGGATGAACCAGGGGCTTCCTCTGCCCTGCCGTATTTGAACACACAATTTGCAGACCTCCTTTCCTCATTTCCACCTCTAAACCACGCTGACTTGCTCTGGTGGCAGATATGATGTGAATTCCACTTCTGTTCAGCCAGCGCAACTCTCAGCAGCAATGGGAGGCTCAGCACTCCCCACCTCTTTGCTCAAGTGATCCCTTTCCCTCTCAGTGTCTCTGCCCCCCCATTGCTGCAAGTACTGAGACTTCCTAAGTATGAAAGACTATCATCAGCAATGAGATTCCAACCAATAAACTAATTCATACTATGGTGTTAGTGTTGTCTTGGCTTTAAAAAATAACATACAAAGAGGGCAACTCATAACCCAAAGGAATGTCTCCCCAGTGGTGGGGTTTCATGCACCGTGAGGGTGATGCTGGAGGTGGTTGGGCTCTCTCTGCTTCCTTCAATTATATCTCTAAGGAGCTGTCTGCCCTGCCTGCCTGTGGACTCGGCCCCACTTGGTGATTTAATGTCTGCGTTCTGTTGCTCCGCCTCCGAGTCTGTCTGAGACTGCATACTCCTGAGGGCAGCCGTCTGTCCAGCTAGTTCCCAGCACAGCCTTGGGGTGGTGAGGCCTCTGGCTCCAACGTGGGGTGGACATCCCTAAGCACTGGAGTCCCTTTTCACATGCTCCTACCCCTGTGTGCCCCAGGACTTGCAGCCTCTGCTTCTCTTTCCCATGTGTAAGGAAAGGTGGATTTCTCCCTGGCCCTGGGAGGCAGCCCTTCCTGTGAGAGCCTGCCCCACCTCAGCCAAGGTCTTGGGTCCAGCCCTTTCCCACCAAGGAGAAAATAGCAAGAAAAACAGATGAGAACTGATACCCTAAGCTGCAACGTCTGCTGGGACCCAGCCCTGGAGGCGCCCCCGGAAAGCTTTAACCCTGGGGCTCCAGGCAGTGGAAAAGAGAGAGCAGAGGAGGGGAGGCACCTGTGCAGCTAGAAGTTGCCTCCTCTCTCTCTCTCGCCCACCTGGAGCCCTGCCAGTGTCCACCTCCCCTGTCTAAAAAGATCTTCACTGCCCAGATGTGGGTCCTGGACTAGACCTCTCTCCCCAGATCCTCAGGCTGGATGGCAGCACCAGAGGTTGCCTGGTCCACCCCCTGGTTCTGGGTGGTACCCTCCTTGAACGGGGTCCAGAGGTTCCCCTTTTAAAGCTCTTAGGCAAGGGATATTCTCAATCTGCCAATCATTCGCATTTAAACCAGCCACAGACAGCCTGGTGCCCTGGAGGAGAGCTGGTCTTGGGGTCAGGAGGACTGGGCAAGTGGAGTTCCTAATCTGTGACTTGGGGACTCTGCTGTCTGCTGTGCTCACCTCACAAAGGTGGTTCCAGGGATTACCTGAGATGTGACTGTGAAAGGGCTTCATAAAGGATAAATACGATATAAACAACAGATGTAATAGGCAGTGGGGGACGGGAAGGGCACCCGGCCCCACCCTTCCCTCTGCAGCTGCAGCCCCTTGACCCTGCCGAGGCTCACCCTGGAGACCTGGCCTCACCCTACACCTGGCCCCTCAGCCACCTTCTCTCTAGGCAGAGTGATTTGCAATCCTTTGGTCTTTCCCCATACACTCATGAACAGAACTTCTTTTGTCGTGTCTGGGAGGACATGGGGGGAACACTTTGAGGTCATCAGGAACAAGACCTGGGCAAGATGTCTTAGTAGCCCTTAGGCTGTATTTGCTGAGCGTCTGGAAATATTGGAGCTTTTCTAGGTGTGAGTATGTCAAGGGCCTTGGGGGGTTGGGGGTTAGAGCCAAGGTGAAGGAATATTGGTAGGTGTTTGCAGAGCATGTGCACATATTTTATCTCACTCAGTCCTCACCCTCTGAAGAAAGTCCCACAGTCTCATTTTCCAGAGGAGAAATTGATCTAGTGGGCCGGCCC